ATCGGTGTTGTGTCCCCATTGTACACACAGCTGATGTGTACTGGACGCAGATTGTCACGTGGTGTCTGCACATCGATGTACTGCAGAATCTCCTCCTTATTGACGGGTTTGTAGCAGAGTCCCTTCATCAGTGTCACATGTCACCTGACCGTCACCTCGCATGTCACCTGACCGTCACCTCGCGTGTCACCTGACCCGTCACCTGGCATGTCACCTGACCCATCACCTCGCATGTCACCTGACCCGTCACCTCGCGTGTCCCCCGTCACCTCGCGTGTCCCCCGTCACCTCGCATGTCACCTGACCCGTCACCTCGCATGTCACCTGACCCGTCACCTCGCGTGTCACCTGACCCGTCACCTCGCGTGTCACCTGACCCGTCACCTCGCGTGTCACCTGACCCGTCACCTCGCGTGTCACCTGACCCGTCACCTCGCGTGTCACCTGACCCGTCACCTCGCGTGTCACCTGACCCGTCACCTCGCGTGTCACCTGACCCGTCACCTCGCGTGTCACCTGACCCGTCACCTCGCGTGTCACCCGACCCGTCACCTCGCGTGTCACCTGACCCGTCACCTCGCGTGTCACCCGTCCCGTCACCTCGCGTGTCACCTGACCCGTCACCTCGCGTGTCACCTGACCCGTCACCTCGCGTGTCACCTGACCCGTCACCTCGCGTGTCACCTGACCCGTCACCTCGCGTGTCACCTGACCCGTCACCTCGCGTGTCACCTGACCCGTCACCTCGCGTGTCACCTGACCCGTCACCTCGCGTGTCACCTGACCCGTCACCTCGCGTGTCACCTGACCCGTCACCTCGCGTGTCACCTGACCCGTCACCTCGCGTGTCACCTGACCCGTCACCTCGCGTGTCACCTGACCCGTCACCTCGCGTGTCACCTGACCCGTCACCTCGCGTGTCACCTGACCCGTCACCTCGCGTGTCACCCGACCCGTCACCTCGCGTGTCACCCGACCCGTCACCTCGCGTGTCCCCCGTCACCTCGCGTGTCACCTCGCATGTCACCTGCCAGCATGTGCCCAGGAGTCAGCAGGTTCAGGCTCTCAGTACGATATCATTAATAGGGACTGCTGTGACCGTGTAGAAGTATGACCCTGACACGGGATGTCTCTGACCCTGACACGGGATGTCTCTGACCCTGACACGGGATGTCTCTGACCCTGACACGGGATGTCTCTGACCCCTCCAGCCGTCATGCCTGATCCTCACGGGGGGGCCACCACGTCCTCACCTTTCTTCTCTCTCCTCAGAGGCGGAGTTTGGCTCCCAGCCAGCTGGCAAAGAGGAAGCCGGACGGTTATTATGAAGACGAGGACTGGCAGGAAACCAGCGTGAGTATCTCCCAATGATGTGGGGGCCCCTCTAATGATGTGGGGGCCCCTCTAATGATGTGGGGGCCAGTGGGGGCCCCTCTAATGATCTGGGGGCCACAGCCCATATTCCGCATTGTAGGGATGAAATCCTCCGATCTCTCTCATCAGACCCCGAAGAGGAAGCGAAGCAACGAGAGCCGGGAGAGCCGGGAGAGCTGGATCTCCCCCTTCCGGAAACCTCTGACACCGCCGACCACCCGACCCGTCTGCCTGGACAGCCAACAACATGTAAGTGGAGGGCAAATACCGTCCATGAGACCCCGAGGGAGGGCAAATACCGTCCATGACACCCCGAGGGAGGGCAAATAGCGTCCATGAGACCCCGAGGGAGGGCAAATACCGTCCATGAGACCCCGAGGGAGGGCAAATACTGTCCATGAGCCCCCCAAAGACTCAGAGGGAGGGCAAATACTGTCCATGAGCCCCCCATAGACACAGAGGGAGGGCAAATACTGTCCATGAGACCCCGAGGGAGGGCAAATACTGTCCATGAGACCCCGAGGGAGGGCAAATACTGTCCATGTGACACCGAGGGAGGGCAAATACCGTCCATGAGACCCCGAGGGAGGGCAAATACTGTCCATGAGACCCCGAGGGAGGGCAAATACTGTCCATGTGACACCGAGGGAGGGCAAATACCGTCCATGAGACCCCGAGGGAGGGCAAATACTGTCCATGAGACCCCGAGGGAATGGATTGGCCGCGCTCGGGTCGCTCTCCGGTCACGCTGATGGTTTCTTCCTTTCAGGAGGCGTTTATTAGAAGTATATTATCCCGACCATTCAAGGTGCCGATCCCCAACTACAGAGGTGAGCGCAGAACATTCATACCGTGCAAGGACTCGCGTGGTGGGTGGAGCCTCGTGTGGTGGGTGGAGTCTCTGACCTGCAATATTGTTACAACGTCTCTGGCAGAGGAAACCGCCCCGAAATATGAAGAGCCCACTGATTGGTGTATAAGAGGAAGGATGGAAATCTGATTGGCTCCTTGTATTGAATGTCAGGGAACATGCAGGGTGTCCCCAGTCACTCCCCCCGGGATCCCGGTCACTCCCCCCGGGATCCCTGTCACTCCCCCCGGGATCCCTGTCACTCCCCCCGGGATCCCGGTCACTCCCCCCGGGATCCCGGTCACTCCCCCGGGATGGTTAAGGAGCAGCCACGGCTCGGGCACTCTATGACCTTGACCCAGACAGAGGATCCCCCCCATGGCTTGCCAGGCTCTTCCCTTCCTTCTCCGGTACTCTGCAGTGATGTCCTGCCCCCTGGGTGCGGGGCTGGTATAGTAGGCGGAGCCATAGAGGGGGGATGGAAGGTGGCAGAGTCAGGTCACGGGCTGTTCTATATACTCGCAGAGCTTGCGGGGGGACTCTGCTGACCATACACAGTCACATGACCTGTTGTGGCTCTGCAGTCACATGACCTGTTGTGGCTCTGCAGTCACATGACCTAGTGTGGCTCTGCAGTCACATGACCTGTTGTGGCTCTGCAGTCACATGACCTGGTGTGGCTCTGCAGTCACATGACCTGTTGTGGCTCTGCGGGGTCCTGGAATTATCCATGTGTGGCTCTTAATGTGTCTGTGGGGGTGTGGTGCCTTGTCCTGATCTTACTCCCTTATCTCTTTCTCATGTAGGGGATCTGGGTGCTCGGGCCCTTGGTATTAAGAAGGCCGGTGTACGGAGAGCCCTCCATGATCCCTATGAGGACGGCGCATTGGTTCTTTATGAGCCCCCCATCCTGAGTGCACACGATCAGCTGAAAGAAGACAAGTGAGTATGTGACCCCGCGATGGCACCTCGTGGGCGGGCCAAATCCCTGGCTGCTCTGGAGTGTAGGGGCCTGACAACAATGCAGAGGGGGGGGGGCAAGGCTCATGAATTTGGGGTGTCCATGGTGAGCAATACCTGAGGTGACCTGACATGCTGGAGGTCAGAAACTCTCAAATCAAGTTTATTTTGAGGAGCTTGCTGGTCTGCCCCCCTCTGGAGGAGGAGCTTGCTGGTCTGCCCCCCTCTGGAAGAGGAGCTTGCTGGTCTGCCCCCCTCTGGAGGATGAGCTTGCTGGTCTGCCCCCCTCTGGAGGAGGAGCTTGACCCTGGGGGTGGGGGTTGGTGGTCTGCCCCCCCCCCGGAGGAGGAGCTTGCTGGTCTGCCCCCCCTCTGGAGGAGGAGCTTGCTGGTCTGCTCCCCTTCCTGGAGGAGGAGGAGCTTGCTGGTTTACCCCCTTCCCGGAGGAGGAGGAGCTTGCTGGTCTGCCCCCTCCTAGAGGAAGTGCTTGCTCTGTCTGCCCCCTCTGGAGGAGGAGCTTGCTGGTCCGCCCCCTGGAGGAGGAGCTTGCTGGTCTGCCCCCTGGAGGAGGAGGAGCTTGGTATTTTGGAGGTGAAGTCATTCCTGCATGGAGTCTGTGTGGTTACTGTGGCTGTGTTTGTGTGCAGGGAGAAGGTTCCGGTCCACGTTGTGGTCGATCCTTTGCTGGGAAAGGTCCTCCGGCCCCATCAGAGAGAGGTGACCCCGTCATGGAATGTATTCTCCCTTCCTGTCCCCGGAGCCGCGTGTAACATTTCTCCTCTGCTGTAGGGAGTGAAGTTCCTGTGGGACTGTGTAACCGGAAGACGCATTCCCGGGAGTCACGGCGCCATCATGGCGGATGAGATGGGACTGGGGAAGACCCTTCAGTGTATCGCCCTCATGTGGACTCTCCTGCGGCAGAGCCCGGACTTCACACCGGAGATAGACAAGGCCATGGTGGTGTGCCCGTCCAGCCTGGTGAGGAACTGGTACAACGAGGTGGGCAAATGGCTGGAGAGCCGGATCCAACCCCTCGCCATCGACGGCGGCTCCAAGGAGGAGATCGACCGCAAGCTTGGTAAGAAAGGGGGTGGGGCTGAGCTGTAGCCTCCGACCAATCAGAATGGGGTGAATTATCAACCCCCATCTGCTCCAGGGAGAGTGGTGACCCCCATAATGGATGTCTCTAGGGGGGGGAGTGACCCCCATAATGAATGTATCTAGGGGGAGGAGTGACCCCCATAATGAATGTCTCTAGGGTGAGGAGTGACCCCCATAATGGATGTCTCTGGGGGGGGAGTGACCCCCATAATGGATGTCTCTAGGGGGGGGAGTGACCCCCATAATGAATGTCTCTAGGGGGAGGAGTGACCCCCATAATGAATGTCTCTAGGGGGAGGAGTGACCCCCATAATGAATGTCTCTAGGGGGAGGAGTGACCCCCATAATG